ACAGCCTGCTTGAATGAAATAATTCACTTCATTAAAAAATCTATCTATTAATGTCTTGCGTCCAGGTAATAATTGGTTATACATCCAACTTTTATAGATTTGAATATCCATAACACACTTAGGATATAAATTCTTGCAACCAAATAATGAGAATTTTATCAATTAAAATAATAATAATATTACTTCACATGCAAGTATATCCTCATCTTTGCAACACTTAACTTAATATTATACATCTTTTTAAATGGATAACATTCTGCCCCATAAAGCAGTGTAGGTCTCACCAAATCTTATAGAATTTTTGCTTAAGTTTGAGGGAGACCTTTTATCAAAAAACAAGCCCAATATATTCCTCCACTTGAACCATACAAAATGAACATATATGTGACCAAACCATTTAAGGAGACTCTCTCTAATCTTATCTTGCATTAGAGCTACTCCAACCTTTTCATGTATATTCTCATTTTGTTTCCTATCTCTAAGAGTAAAGCCACTCATCCACCTAAGCATCCTCACCTCTGCAACACTTAACTTAACATTATGCTTTTTTTTAATGGCCAACATTCTGCACAAAAAAGAAGTGTAGGTCTCACCATTTATAGAATTTTTTCTTAAGTTTGAGGGAAAATTTTCTATCACACAACAAGCACGGTGCATTCCCCTACTTCAACTATACAAAATGAGCATATATGTGACCAAACTATTTAAGGAGACTCTCTCTAATCTTATCTTTTCCACAAGAGCTACTCAAAGCATTTCATGAATATGCTCATTTTGTATCATGTCTCTAAGAGTAAAGCCACTCACCCACCTGAGCATCCTCATCTCTGCAACACTTAATATTATGCTTCTCTTTTAATGGCCAAAATTTTGTAACATAAAAGCATTGTAGGTCTCACTACATCTTATAAAAAATTCCCTTAAGTTTGAGGAGGAATTTTCTATCATACAACACACCCGATGCAATACACCACCAAAAGTATCCAACATGAATTATACTAATAATAACTCTATCTATTACAACATCACTATGTACAATAGACTCAAGATATCAAAAGCATGTACTCTTATTAGTGGATTGTTTGCCCAAAGTCACTATCCCTCCTGTTACACTCTAAGATTGACCTCTATAATTGAAGTTTACATTCAACTCCCTTTATAATATTATCAACAAAGAAGTAATCATCAGTAAAATGCATACAGTACTTCATCGACATATTTAGGGTTTGCATGAAGATTCACTAGAAAGGAAAGATGTTTACCTTCTCAACGAGCAAGCTCCATCTTTAAATTTGGTTGTGAAGAAGAACGTGAAAGTGGTATGATGGCTGTGAAGAAGAATATGAAGGAGGTGAGGCGGCGACAACGAAAAAGAACAACGAGGAAGCATGGCTTCAATATGATAATAACGAACATCATCGAAGGAGGCAATGTCATAGGGACAAAACATCAACGAAGGATCCGAGCAAAGTCTAGCATGAAAGAGAGCGGAAGAGAACATAACAAACAATTGAAATGAATGCCCAATCAGTTGGTATGATAAGATAAATTGCATCGGATTTGCGGTGGACTTGTGATGAATTTGCGGCAAAAAAATCCATCGCAAGTCCGCCGCAAAAGAATTAATGAATATTTCTATCTAAATTTTTTTGCCGTTTTAGAGAAAAAATTTTTGCCACAAAGTCTATCGAAAATCTATCATAAATTGCTAACTGTCCTGTAGTGCCTAGAGTATAGCTGCCGACTCCCTAAAGATCATTAATGGCTAAACCAAGGGGATTTCCACAGTTGTAAGATGCCTTCGAAACCATGCTAGAATCTTTGTACAAACCAACATAACCATTCAATGAAATATCAACATCCATACTCGAGATGTTTCAAATTGATTTACTGACCTGTTCAGAACTGGACAAACAACTCATGACTGGAAAGGTCACAAACGGGAGCTTCATCATGCATGTAGCTGTATGCATTAACTAAATTGTTGATATCCAATTATCATTTTAGCTCGAGTTCATGCTCTTCCACCATTTCATGTTCCACATGAGCATTATCAACATATTCCAAACCTTTGCTTCCAGCATCATCATCTAACATTGTTTCATGGTCAAAACTGGTAGCATCGCCTTCCCTGTCGTTAGCTTCCTAATCGTGATATAGGTTTTCCCTACGAGTCACAAATTGAGGATGGGAAGCCCGATTTCTGCTGAGGAATGCGACTAACAAAAGTATGAATCACATGAATGAGAGCTAAGACATGGTAAAAAGAAGGAGGCGGACCTAAGAGACGGACGTGAGAAAAGGAGATAAGAAATGAGGGAGAGGATAGATCGTGGGATCATTTTTTTAAATAATTTTGAAAATGCTACTATTGAATGTTGTAAGAAATTATATAAAAATTAGTAGTGGTGAAAATCAATGTCTATACCAATCAATAGTAGCGGTTTACAAACTGTCGGTATGAATCACTGCAGAAACATTAAATTTTTAATAGTGTCATGTCCAGACCAACATCTTTGGACAAATCATTGGTCTTCCTCTTTCATCTCACCAAGTTCTCCATCATCATTGATGTAGGATGTGGTGGGATAGAAGGGGAAAAGCTATAAGTTATCCAAAGGTGATAATTTAAACATAGCTCTATTTATTATTTTATGAGAAACTAGCTGCCAAGCTCTTCTAAAGCAGAGGACCACGAAGGCATACCTAAAAGCTAAACCCAACACCAAGGAAAGAAATTAAATTCACTAAGTTCTTCATTTATTCAACATTCAAATTACATTATGGGCATATATGTATTTATAACATTATAATGAAGAGATAAGAGAAAGAGAGAAAAAAATACATAAATTTAAATATTTCCTCTAATAATTGAAACTTTCCATAAATAACAAGCTTCCTTGATCCTGGGGTGTGACAGGGGTAGACATTGAGGAAAAAAATAGGACATTCTCTGCCAAAATTTTTGACGGAATTAAGTAGAAAGGTTTGGTTGACAGTTCCATCAGAAATGGTTATATATTTTCCAATTGAAATTTAGCTGGTTTTGTGGTCAGAAATTCTGCTCGCTAATAATCCACCACCTTACTTTTCCTATAGTAAAATTGAATTTACATTTTCACTTTGTAATTGCTTCTAATACTCAAAATCATCATAATATAGTCATAAGAATAAAATTATACAATTTAATGATAAATAATAAAAATATTATAAATCATTTAAAAATTAAAATTATATAATTTAATGATGAGTCATAAGAATAAAATCTTTTAAATTACAACCATTATACAAGCGAGTACATTGCTTATACATTTAGTTGATTTTGTTATGCAAATTCTAAGCAAAATTATTCAAATACTAATTCTTAAGAAATCCCCTTAGCAATAATTTTAAGTAGATTTAAAATTTACAAAACTAAAAATTAAAAAGAAGAAGAAATGTTCAATTTGAAACTTGCTTAATATTACTTTTTAACTTGTTTGATATAATTTATAAAAAAAAAAAAAAACTAAAATCTATCCAACTAAAAGAATTTAGAAAATGTGATGGCAATAATCATTTAGTGCTTACATGAAAATTATATAGGAAATTTTGTTTGTTTGAAAATGATATTATTAATATTACATATCCATTTAGAGTTTACAAATAAATTAACTTAAAATTAGAATTCATCACTAAGTTCAAAATAAATGACTGATATAAATGATTACAAATGTTTGATATTATTTAAAAAAATAACATTATTATTAGGAAATAATAATAACAAATAACTTCTTAAATTGAAACTAAATTTAATTAAATAAGAAATACTCTTAAAAAAAAAAAACTAACCTTAATATTTTTGAGATGAGATGATTTAGTGTGGGTAGTGTGAAAAGCTTCAATTAGTTTGGCTAAAATATGGATGCTTTGGGTTTTCATCTATGTTAAATCCTAGTCGCCCCGCCTAGAATCTTTGCTCCCTTCCTCTTCTTCGGATTCTATTGGAGGAACACTGTCTTCTAGCTTATGAAATATGCTTCATCTTTTGCATTCACTCACTTACAAAGTGTAATATCTTAAGATCAAAATTTAGAAGAATTATCTATTTCAATATCTTAATTAATCAATTAGAGCTTCGATGAATTCATCAACATAAATTAATCCAATAAAAACAACTGAAAATTATATATATTAAAATATAAAATTATATTAATTTCTTCAAATTTATATATAAGAGCCAAGAGTTTAATCTATAAATTCATCAGTCTATCTTTCATCACTTGACTATGGTCATAAAAAACCAACATGTACTGACACATGTCAATTTCTTAGTGAATTACAATACTTCTTATTTTCATATCTGCATTTCCTATGAAACTAGGATAAAATTATTATAATTAAAGCAAAATAATATTTATGCTATTATAAAGATGATTTATAAATTGGACTTATAATGATTCTTAAAATGTTATTAGACTAGATCAAAATATGTGATATTACACAAAGCCTCTTTGACATGAATTTTTATTACGTCCGGTGTCCTAACGTAGCTCTACGTTCGGACGCCAATAACATGTCGCCACGTGCTCATACTCTTTACCGCGCGGCCCGACGACCTGCCCAAACCAGAACCCGGTATTGCTATGTTCGTGTATTGCTAGGTATTGCTAGGTATTGCTTGACAATAACGAGAAATACCGCTTTATCAAGACCAATACCGAGCAATACCGAGATACCTAACAATATCGAGCAATACCTAGCAAAATCGGGGTATTGCTCGGTATTGGTCTTGATAGAATGGTATTTCTCGTAGACTGCGGATATATACCCAATCGGTTAATTGCAAAAGAATCATTTTTCAGGTTATTTGCATTGCATGGCCAACCAAACGGAGGGAATGAGAAAACGCAAAAGAGGCGTTTTCATGAAAAGACCTAATTTTATTAATTTTTGCTTTATTCTAAATTAATTTGTAGACGAATTCCTATTGCTTAATTTAAATTTACTTGAGAACATTTCACCTTGAACATTATTCATTATTTTCTTCCTTTTTCTAGGGTTTCTGGCCCGCTCCATTGTTTAACTCTAATCTCGACCTGCTAGCTGCGTCAAAGCATGAAGCTATCCTTCTCGATCTCCTCAAAATCCTCCTCTTCTCGCCCTCCTACCTCAAAACCTCCCCAATCTTTCAATTCTAGCGGCGACCGCAATCATGAAGGTGGCCTCGATGACGAAGCCAAGCCGCATTTTGTCACTGTCTTTGATCCATCAGAAAATCCATCTTCTGATTCCACCTTGCAGCGCGTCAGCACTCCCATCCCCAACTCTGATTACCGGTCTAACATGAAGATGAAGAACCTCCCTCTTCCTACTACCGATGAACCAGCAACCGAGACCCGATTCGTGCTCGAAGCCTTTTCTGGCAACGGCTCCTCCGAAGCCAGTGGATACGGCCTGATGCTTCGCTCTAATGGTGTGGATGCTAATTCCCAAGAAGGCGATGCTCGAATGTCAGAGAAGAGATTTCAGGAAGCGATAAAAGATTTACCCGATGATGGGCCCCCCGATGTCCCCGTTGAGGGTTTTGGGGTAGCTATCTTAGCCGGGGAGGGTTGGGTTGAGGGGAAGCCTATTGGGCGAAACGGTAAGGAGGATCCAAAGGTTTTTGAGTATAAAAGAAGGGCAGGGACTGAGGGGTTTGGGTATGAGCCGCAAGCGCTTAATTTAGGGAAGAAAAGCCAGAAGGAGGAGATCGCCGCTGGATTCAAATCAATTAATGGGAAGGATGATCGTACTAATGGTAGGGATGAACGAAAGTTTGAGCGTAGAGAGAATGAGAAAACGGGCAAGGATAGAAGGTATGAGGAAAGAAGTAAGGAGGAGAAGAGGAGAAAGCATGATGTTACTACAACTGCAGTGAGAAGTCCAGTTCGGTGGTTGACAAGTCATATTAGGGTCAGAATAATCAGTAAAAAGTTTGGAGGGAAACTGTATCTTAAGAAAGGTGAGGTGGTGGATGTTGTTGGCCCTACAACTTGTGATATTAGGATGGATGAAAGCGGGGAGCTTGTGCAGGGAGTGGATCAAGAGATATTAGAGACTGCTCTTCCAAAACGCGGGGGGTCGGTGCTTATTCTGTATGGTAAACATAAGGGTGTGTATGGGAGTTTGGTGGAGAGGGATTCTGAAAAGGAGACAGCGTTAGTCAGAGATGCAGATAGCCATGCTTTGATTAATGTACTGCTTGAGCATGTTGCTGAGTATGTTGGAGACCCCAGCGATCTTGGTTATTGAATTTTTATGCGATTCAGTGGCGGCCATAAAAGAACCAAAAGTAAGTCTTGTTGTATACAGTTTATTCAGAAGATGTATTTATTAAAGACATTGAATTTGATGCTATCATTCTGTATGATCTTGTTGTGCTTGTCCTTTTCTTGAAACTCTTGTTTTTATGTTATTGCCACTCCATGGGATGGGATATTTTGTGGATGCATTTGTTAAAAAAAAAGAGGATGGGACAGTTTAGCTGGTCTTTGTTTAATTTCTTTAAATTTCCCTACACAATAAGTAGACATTATACCTTATGATTATGTTAAATGGTCGGAACAAGTTCTTTGAAGTAATTACAACGCTTTAGCTCCTTTACTTGAAGCCATGTTATCATATTCAAGACTCTTTGCAATGGAAACCATCCATCCCCATTCTCATGTTGCATGCACAAAGCACCACAGCTGAACACATTTACTTTCGAGTACTACCATTACAAGCAAGTGCTGTTAAATCTAGAACCAAGCTCCTTAATCAAGAGTGCTATCTGATGGAGAAGTGTTATTAATTCTAGGAGTTTACGCCCATATAAAGTTTCATTCCCCATATCTAAAATTGATAGCCACATAAAGGGAGTTTCTAGGCTTATGCCTTTTTTTGTTTGAGCAACAATTATTACCCTACCACATCCTAGTTCCTCTTCCTCTTCTTCTTCTTTTTCTTATCTCTTCCGTAACTTTCTTTGGCCTTCTCCAGCACTCCGCCTTCGGCTCGGTGAATAGTGGATTTGAAGTTGAGGGATTCACGTAAACTTGCTATTTGTATAAGCTATTATATTATCACTATATTCCTAACTACAGATCTTGGCCGTCGATTAATGCATCAGCCAATGCATGCACGGATAAGTGGGATGGGAAATGAGAAAAGCTACATTACAATAGTTCCTTGCACACAGTAGCATTAAAAATTAACTTAGCTTAATTATTTTAAACACTGATTTAACTTTTATAAGCTTATATACTTATAGTTACTTGTATAAATATATCTAAGAAAATGATCTATACAAAATATAGGATTTTATAAAAATATTACTTATTAATTTTGAGAGGTGTAAAAAATGGGATATAATATTTTGGATAAATTTTGACTTGTCCTTTTTCAAAAATCTTGAATATTACAATTCTTTCCTCATTGAAATTTCGTCTTTGAAATTCAATTCTTTCATAATCAATTAAACAAGTGAGGGAATTTCTATCATATCTTTCATATTTTTAAGTCGTTCTTCTTTATGATACATATTTCCATTTTGCTTTCACATAAGATATTTTTCTGGTTTTAAGTTTTTTACATCAGATTTTAACATCATTTTTGATTCTGTAAAGTTTAGTAGCTCTGTACTTCAATTTCCTAATTTATCATTCTCTTACTTTCATTTGTGACTCATTTTCTAAGCATTGATATATAAAAAAACATTTTGTATACTAGACACATCTATTGAAAATGCAAATTTATGGACAATTTTTTTAATTCTTTCAATTATTTCAAACGATCAGATATATTTTATTTCAACCTTCCTCCTTGGTTTGATGTCGTTGTTGTTGTTTTCTCCTTGGCTAAATTTAGAAATACCTTTCATAGGCCTAACTTTTAAGAACAAAAATTTATCGAATTTAAATTCAACCATTATATATTTTGAGCTATAGTATTTTTGCTGACGATCTTGGGACGCCTTTAATCTACCTCTGATTAATTTGATTTTCTTAGTAGCTTGATTCACTAATTGGGGATACATCAATTGTGTCTCTCTAACTTCAAAATCAACTTAGTGGAGTTCTATGTTTTCTGCCACACAATAACAATTGCTTTTTGATTGCTCCTAACTTTGCAAAAAATATTATCTTCTATTTATTCACCTTATTAGAACTAACAAGAGATGTCATTGTTCCTTTCTTGCATTGAAAGTAGAATGTCTTATCATGAGGCAATCAAGGTTGGCTCTCTTCTTCTAGCACTCATGATAGTATTTAGTTAGCCAATTTATACCCAAAATTACGTCAAACTCAGTCTTTTGTAACAAAATCAATTCAAACCTGAATATTCTACCAGCTATCACTATATCTACTATGCATAAGGTATTTGCAAATATGCTATACCGACAGATAATATGATACACAACCCATGAGTAACGTGAACATGTTCCATATACAACTTAGTAAAAACAACTCAAATAAGAAAGAATGTAAAGCTCTTGAATTATAAAGCACTCTAGGGACAATGTTAGAAATACTAATCATATTTTTCATAACCTCCGAAGACTCCTTGTCTTCTTGAGATGTCAGTGAAAAAATTCATGTTGGTATTGCTCTTGTATCACCTTCAGATGATTTTCCTTTTTGCTCTCTTTCACGCTAAACATTCCTTGGGCAAATTCTCTTTATATGGCCTTGATCCCTACAGCAATAATATCTTTCAGAATTTCATCAAGCTCTTTTTTGAATGGGGCTTCCCTAGGGGTGTAAACGAGTCGAGTTTTGACACTATCGAACTCGGCTTGTCAGTCAGACAACGAGCTCGAACTCGAGCTCGTCCCACTGTTAATGAGTTCAAGCCGGCTCGCGAGCCCGGCAGTCCGAACAGCCTTCGAGCTAGTCATCTTCCTCGTCTGCATCATCCACGTCGAGCTTGCCATTGGAGAAGATGGTTGAGCATTGAAAATTAAATATATATTTTTTTCTTATGGGGAGAAGAGAGGAGTTGAGATAATTAATGAGATTTAGGGCTGGTTTGGGACGGCGTCACTGCTGCTTTACTATTTAAAAAGCAGTTAAGCATTTGTTTGGCTTGATCGCGGCAGAGCCGGTTACGAAAATTTCTGCTGCCGCTCGTTGCTTCCCGCGACTGAACCTTACCTCCCACGGTACACTGCTTTCCGCGGTTTCGAAGAACAAAAATGACGCAACTGCCCAGTTCGTGCGGAAGTTGTCGATCATTTCTGACCTCCTGCTTTTCGGTCATCTACCATTTCTCCAAGAGTTATTTTCGATTACTTCCAACTCTTCTTCCGTCCTCCTCTCAGGACCACACTTCAAGCCAGCACTGCCCGCCTCCCCTATTCGAAAATCCCCATTCCTTTTTTCTTGTCTCACGCCATCACCGACACAGGCTCTACAATCTGAAGTGCGACAACTACCTTCCCTCTTGACTGATCTGAAGTCACACCTTCCGCCTCTCATCTGCTTAATCGAAACTAAAGGCTGCAATAGGAGTTCATGTTAAGAGAAGGTAGCATTTCTTCCTTACTGTTGCTGTCGAAGCCCTAGCCCACCGTCTGCTATTTCTGCTTTGTTTTTTTTTAGAATAAAAATCATATGATTTTTTTTTAATTTCTATATCCTGATCATTTTTTGCTTTTGTTTCTGGATTTAAGAGAGGGAGACGGGATTTCACAAAAAAATTTTTAACTAATAACGTGCTTCAATAATATTTCTCAAATTACGATTTAAAATTCCAAAAAAAATTTTAGCAGGATTTAAGAAAAATCTTGAATTAATGTTGTCTAAAATTCTTTCATCTAATGTTTATCCAATCCTACAAAATCAAGCATTTATTTATGTCAGTATTTACAAGTTTTAAGGGATTTGGGTAGGATTTAACGTAATTCCTTCACAAATCCTACAAAATTTTTTTGATTATAACTGTGTTGTTTTCCATCAATCTTTTTTCATTCCCGAACAAATTTGAAAGAACCTTGCTATTGCAAATTTATGTTTATATATGTTTTTTCTAACTTTTTGCTAGAGGATTTTATTGGTTTTTATCCAAGATTAATTTAATCAAAACTCGTCACCATTCATAAACTGGCTCATTGCAATTTTATTTTGTTACTAATACCAAACATAATTATTTATGTTGTTATTTGGGCACTTGGATGGCCTCCTGGAATGCTTTGGGATTCTATTTTTAATCTCAAAACTACTCAAAACTTAATTAAGAGGGCGAAGAGAGCATGAGGATATAATTTCCGTATTAATTCTGTCAGAAAGTAACAATGCTGCTGCTAAAATTGTATATGCTATGCAATACTGAAGCGTTTGTTGATTAATAAGTTGAACTTATTGTTGTTATGCGAGAGCTTACAACTGGAATGAATTCCGGTCAAGCATTGTCCCATTTTGATGACTCTGACAGAAGTTTTGCAATGGTTGTTTTTTACTGTAATTATTACACATTTCAGGACAATTACTGCCTTTGCACTGAACAATTTTTTTTTTAATGTTGCTGCAGGTTATGTTTTTAGGCCATTTGCCATATCATTTCTCATGCTTGTACTTAGTATTTCTTCCAATATTGCTGAATGAATATTTGAATTTATCATTAATTGATTGAATTGTATGTGACATTGAGAATGCGTTACTTAAGAAAATTTGTTACGTTAGAAAATTTGATGTGCAAATTAATTATTGGAAGAAGTTTAGCTTAAATTAAGTTGGTGGATAGATCCTTTGGAGATAGTTCTGAAAAGGTCCACATGTTGATCTCATAACTGTGTACCCAATTTTTCTGAATCTTTTGTTTTGAAACATCCGGTCGAGGCAAAAACTCGGTACACCTCGGTACAACGGGATTTTGCCTGCGACCGAATGTTTCTCTCATTCGGTCGACCGGACCAAATAAAACTTCTGTTTTGACAGCTTGGATTGGATAGTTTGCGAGCTGATCTTGTATTAGTTTGACATTTTATCTTATATGCCTGAATAAGAACTGTTACAACGTTCATCTTTAGCATTCTATCAGTTGCATGAAAGCAATCTGATATCAATCCCAAAGAAAATGCAGAGGACCACTGGTGGTGTTCATGCTTAGAATCAACCAACCAATTGAGGAGGAAGTCCGACGCAGAGCATATAACAGCATAAGATGATGAAGGAACCACCTATAGACATGGAGAATAAGAAGAAAAAAAAAAAAATGATACATAAAACAGTATTCTTGTAACATTCATCTATGTTTCTTTCTGGATTAAAAACATTAAAGGTAATGGTCAGATGCAGTTTATCAAAATATAAG